GGGGGGGGGGGGGGGGCAAAAAACCGGCTTTATCTGTTTACTGAATTCACGGGTGGCTCTCGTCATTTCTAAATCATCTCCTCGCTTGTCCGTCGTCTCTGCTTTCTCCTCACAGTCTGTCCATTCTCCCGTCCTCCCATTCTCCCCCATTCTCCCGTTCTCCTTTCTCCCATTCTCCCATTCTCCTATTCTTCCATTCTCCCCCATTCTCTAATTCTCTCCCATCCTCCCATTCTCCCATTCTCCCATTCTCCATCCTTCCATTCTCCATTCTCTCTTGTCCAGCCCTTCTCTGTTCTTCTCAGGTTTTTCAAACGTTTCCCTTTTCCACTTGGCACATGCGGTGATCTGCAGAGTGAGGGGGCGGTGATCCGAGAGCCCTCAAGCCGCAGAGGGAGTGGAGTGCGGCTCACAAGAGAGCGGGTTGGCATTTGTCTCCAACCAACTCGAACAGTGCAGTGAATCTGACCGTCTTCCAGTTCAGCAGCATGTCCGTTGTAAGTTGGATTATTCTTTGATTTTGATTTTCTTTTGCGTCCCCCCTCCCCCCTCCCCCCTCCCCAATCCCCCCTCTCTCCTTTTATTTGTTGTGGGCCTGACTTCGAGTTCAAGATGTCAGTGGCGAGGTCCCACTAGCAAAGCAGATTGGATTGAATGCCTGAATGTGGACGTGTTTCTGGAAGGGTGCAGGAAATTGTGATTGATCTGCTTTTCTGCATCTCTGCCTAAAACCCATCCAGATTAAGGGGCTTAATCCTATCCACTTTGCAAGTGGGACCTTGCTCCAGTTCTTTGTTAGTTGAAGGTGTCTGTTTCGTCTTCGAGAAATTGGCCCTCGCTCCACCCCATCAAATGTCCAAATTGAGAATGAATGTTCCCCTAGAACATGGGAAGATACAAGGCCATATCTTTTTGTCTTTTGTGCATGTGGAGAGTAGTGGAGCCAGGCCCATTATATGCACAAAAAAGGGCCTTGTGCCAGTACTTGACTTTCAACAGGTGTCAGGACTGAGAGGTGGACCACATGCATTCGGACAGATCGAAGATTTTGAATGCACTTGGACCATTACCAGCTCCAGATACGTTTCGAACCTTATGTGGTAGAGTGATGCCCATAGACTCAGTCCAGTCTCCAGTATGATGATGACCATGGTTGTGATCGCCACGGGATCTTCGAGAATCAGCGTTCAGACGGTGAGTCAGTTGGATAAGGAGGTCAGTCCTGTACCACCGGGACTGAGGATTCCTGCCATGGTCAGGGGGAGGAAGAAGAGGGGGGGGAAAGAAAGAAAAAGAGGCTTTGGCTTAGGCTTGGCCAGTGACATCCACCGTCAGATCACAGATCGCACTGCCAAAACAAGGGCCTTGCAGAACGTGGGCTTTCCCCACTTAGGCTTGCGCCAAGGGGTCCCATTTACCTTGATTATTCTTGTTTCTGACCCATCTACAGTTGGAAATGCAGAATCTGGGTAAGTGGGACCTTACCCCACCCAAGGCCTCCCCCCCGCCCCCCCTCTCCTCCCCCTCCCCCTCCCCCTCTCCCCCTTCCAGGGTTAGTCAAGTGCACAATGAGGGGTTCTACACACACACACACACACACACACACACACACACACACACACACACACCCACACACCTGATTCTCCCTTCAGGTGGATTGATGCAGCCAGGGATGGGGGGTCGGAACCGTACAAGTGGTCATGACACAGGGTATCCATGGCTAAGTGGGTGTGAAAAAGGGTTTTTATGGCTGCGACAGACTAGTTTCTCAGACTTATGGCCATTCTTGTAAAGGGGTTTGGACGGACAATTCGCTAGAATTGCAGGGTTGGTGTGTCAGTAAAGTCTACCACTTTTCTCTCTCAAAAGGGTACTACTACTGCTTTTTTTTTTTTTTTTTTTTTTCAGAAGAGTCATAGGAATTTCAAACATGTGTAGTGTATGCTGTAGTGTGTGCTGTGTTTCTCTGCAGGTATATAGTACAGATGTGTCTATGTCTGTCTGTGCTTGTATTAACAGCCTTAGTGTTGTTATTCTGAGTCCCAGCATTTTGGCAGTATTTGTCTAATTTGTGGTCTGTGTTGTGTGTGAAGTGTATGTTTGTAGAAATATAGTACGATGCTTGTCCATATCTATGTGCGATTGCCGTTAGGTGGTGACGGCAGTATTGTTGTGGTGAGTCCTAGTACTTTATCAAATCCTAAGTACTGTTACATGGGTTCGTTTGTGAGGTGTGTATGTTGCTAACTAGATAGTTCAATGCAATGCAATGCAGTTGGTGCAGACTGTCTGCTTCTTGCTGTATTTAACTGGGTTGTTCTGGGGACTAATACTGAGCAGTTGTCGGTAAGACTGTAGGACTTCCAATTTCAGATGTTTGAGCACTTCCTCCTGTAGCCGGTCTTCATATGAGGGCCACAAGGTAGTCAATCCCTGGCCGGCATGATGGTGTGG